TGGTGACTCAGAAGCAGTGTCTGTAGTTTCAAGGTGCCTTGGGGACCACAAATGGTCACTTTGCCTTTAAAGCCCAGGATCAGGGGCATTCCTGGGGGACAAGCAATGGTATTGTGGCCCAGGCTAAGAAACACTGTCAGCCAGAGAGAGCAAGATATGACAGCAGACCTTGTGGAAAGGAACAGAAAGTCCCCTGTGCTGACAACAGTCACCCTTGGGTTGATGCTGGGTGGCCTGGACACTCAAGAGTACTCAAAGACACCAAAGCCTATGTCATGACACAACTGTAGGTATACTAAGGACAGCTCGCAACCCCTTTCAGGTCCAGCTCCTCTTCCAGAGGCCCTGGGTTAGATCCCAGCTCCACATATTGGCTCACAATTTCAGCAAGTCCAACATCCTTCCCAAAACTCTGTGGGCATGAGCCACACACATAGTACACAGACACATATGCAAGCAAAACATCCATACACATACAAATAAAAATCATTTAAAACAAACAGGCCAGGCATTGGCAGCCCGTGCCTTTAGTCCAAGCACTTGGGAGGCAGAGGCAAGTGGATCTCTGTGAGTTTCGAGGCCAGCCTGATCTACAGAGCTAGTTCCAGGAAAGGCTCTAAAGCAATACACAGAAACCCTGTCTTGAAAAACCAAAAATAAAAATAAAACAAACAGGAATGAGGGCCAGTGAGACGGCTCAGTGAGTAAATTTACTTGCCAAACTAGCCTGGCTAACCTGAGTTCAATCCCCAGAACCCACACAGAAGCAGAAGGAAAGCAATGACTCCAAAGATGTCCTCTGACCTCCATACATGTACTGTGTCATGTACACCCATGCACACACACCATTCTCCTGTGTATGAACACACGAACACACTTGCTTGCACACACACACACACACACACACACACACACACACACCATTAAAAAAGTTCCAAGACAGGCAAGTCTACACAGAGAAACCCTGTCTTGAAAAAACAAAACAAAACTATCGGTAACTGTGCATACAGTTATAGAAGTGGCAACAGTCTCTTAGCCTAGCAGTATATTTATCTCTGCTGAAGCAAGGGTCTATAACTGGAAGTTCATAGCTGCAGTTCCAAAGACAGAAAGCCATGGTAACTTAGCTTGTGACACATTCCACTAGGGACACAAGCTCAGAATCATGGGCATGGGCAAGGTTAGGGCCATCTCTCATAGTGATGAGAACAGGGAATAGACGGGGAGGAGGGAGATCAAGGGACTAGCAGGAATGTAGCCATCACTCTGTAGTTACTTATTTACTTTTGAGAAATGGCTACATTCTTCTAGCACCATGGGAACTTTTTCTCTGGGGTGTGGTTCCTGTCAATCAAAAGATTACTCCAAGACTGCCCATGTGCTTTTTGCCCTCCCTGAATGGTTCAAACTGATCCTTTCATCTCTGTAAAACCAGTTTCCAGACTGCCACTGGGTCTCCTCTCATGGAAGCCAGCAATGGAGGCGCCCAGCAGGGCATTTGCTGGCTCAGCTCTAGGCACCAGGCCAAGTGCTATCAGGCTAGGGAACCATCAATCTGCAAAGGGAGCAGGAGGGACAGGCTAGAGCCTCCCCTCATAGCCTGCTGCATCTGGACAATTCTAAGAGCTAGGCTGGCAGCCCAGCACAGAGCCCAGGCAGAGGGACACAAGAGGCCAAATTTACCTTGTCCTCATTTCTAAAATACACATGGATATGCCAGACAGGAGGGAATGGTGATTCACACATTCCACCTTCCTTAAAAACCAAGTCCAAAATACTGAGCAATCAACTCTCAAATCACCATCCCCACCTTTCAAAAGGCTGAGAGCTAGGAACATAACTCAATCAAGTGCATGTTTGCTACATAAGCAGGAGGACCTAGTTTACTAGGACTCAGGTAAAAAAGCAGAGCATGGTAGTACACACTCAAAATCCCAGAGCTGCAACCAATTCCTGAAAATTCATAGTTCTGAGTTTGTTGAATTGTTTCCCATGACAACAGTAGAGTATACAGGTGATCCCTTCTCAATCAAAAACCTTTTATCTCTCAAAGAAAGCCTTTCCCAGAACTTCACTGCTGAAAGAACAAACCTTCCAGAGAAGGAAGGGAGCTGTCAGCCTAATGAAATCATCCAGAAAAGCATGCCTTAATGTTCGAGAAAACTCACAAGGCTCAGGAAACGCCCTCAGGGCCTTGCCTGTTCCCAACCATCCATTCCACATTATTTTTCACCTATACTTCACAGTATCAGAGCAGCACCCTGCTGCTGACACGGTGGGACTTGAACCTGGGCCTGGGGGCTCCCAGCCCTCTCCTTTGCTGCTGGACAGTGGTGGAGGAATTAAGGCATTGTTGGAATCGGGGTAGGAGATTGGCAGCCTTAAACACAACTAAGTTCCCCACGCATCTCCACTGAAATCAGTTCATGAGGCAGGGATTTTAAATGACCTGGTGAAGCCTACTGGGGGGAGAGGGAGGGTTAAGCACTCTAATCTAGGATGCCTCTAGTTTCTATGACAGCCTAAAAAAATACTTGTTCAGTTGATTTCCGAAGTAGCTAAAATATTGACAGTGGCTTCCTTGTTTCAGAACTAAAAGCAGAGACCACGATCTCTACAGGAGCCCAGATTAAATTAGCAAAGCAAGAGGAGATCTGAGTTCTGCCCAGGCCATCCAGCTTTATGGAGATCAGGGTAAACACACACACACACACACACACACACACACACACACACACACACACACACACACCATGTTGCTGCAACTTTCCTGTGCACAGAGGCAAAGGAGCCCCTACTGCATGGAGAGTCACCAAGACCTACAGTCACCAGTCTGTAGTTAGGGCCCCATTTGTTCCTGAGAAACATAAAAATGAAATGAATAGATAACCCTAAAAATAATGATAGTAGATGACAGTAAAAGAAAAAAAAAAAAAAAAAAAAAAAAAGACCAGACAGTGTTACTATGAGGGCTACAGAATTTTATTGGCAATGGAGGACATGATTCAAGGAAACAGACAGTATCCTTTGGGGCAGTAGAAAGGGCTACAGAGACCTGGGTTTTTTGTTCAAATTTGGGGTCACCTAGCTAGGAGTCACCCCATACACACACTGTATCTCCATCTGTCAGTCCCATGGCCAGGCACTAGCCTCCTACATGAATGATCTGGGTGCAACGATGAGACCACTGACTGACTTCAATTTGGTGCCAACCCCTCACTCAGGCTAGTGGAATTTATGGTCCCCTGTGCTGTTAAACCTCACACTACTACAGGCAAAAAGCCCCATTCACCCCAGCTGATGTCCTACAGACCCCACCTAGGACTCAAGGCTGATTACCCCTTTGTCACCGCTCAAGAGACTTTGGAGATGTATATATTCTGCCCATTTTGCACTGCTGAGATTCAGGCTGGGTGCTACCGAAGGTTATGTGGATAACCAGCTCTGCACGGTTTCATTTATCGCAAATGTTTGGATATGAATATATGTCAGAGGTCCACATTAGGTCCCTCAAAATGCTGTCAACCTTGTTTTGGGGGACAGGTGCTCTCATTAGTCTGGAACTTGACAAACAGGCTAGGTTGGTTGGCCAGTGATCCCCAGGGATCTGCCTGTATCTGCTTCCCAGCACAGGAATCACAAGTGTATGCCACAGCTCCATGGTTGCCAGAGATCCTCATGTGTGCATGGCAAGTCTTTACTGATGGAACCATCTCTCTAGCCTCTTTTTGCCTTAAATCACACCAGTCCACAAATCCAGACACAGGGCAGTCTGGCACAAGGTGAGGAACTAGAGTAAAAAGAAAAGTGGTCACACCTCTCCTTATTAGTGACCCTGGATCCGATGTGGCTTGGCCTCTCCATAGACTCAGGTCCAGTGACAGTCAATCTCTGGCATTTGTTAAGTACTGACAGGGTTGCTTCCTCTTAGATTTATTTACCTGAGACACTGCCAAAGAGGAACTGCTTGCCTGCTCATCACCCAGATCCAAGCACAAACTCTGTCCACATGTCTTTAAGGAGATGCATATTTTCACAATGAAATGTTTCAGCTCCAGGAATATATTTTAAGACTTATATTTTCATCTCCTACCACACCCTTGTTTTTCCTGGCAAGGCCCTCAGAGTTTTAAGTGGGATGGAGAGCAGAAGGCATCGCACAATTCCCTGGCAGAAAAGTGGCTTTGGAACCACAAGATTCTGTAGTAACAAACATCGATGAATACCTGGCCTGAAAAATCTGACTGAAATCTCATTCTTGGCTGGTATTCCTTCCACTCAGGATAACTCCCCACCCCCTACCCCAGAAGGGGGGCTCTCCTAGCCCCTCCTCCCTGCCTCCTAGAAAACTGACTCCACCCAAAAGACTTTCACAACTCTGACTGCTACTGATTTTGTCCTTCAAAGCAAAGTTGAGTCCCTGAGGTCCAAGTACACTCTCGTAGCACAAAGGGCTGCAGAGAAAACATCTCCAAGTAAAACACCAGGTTTCTGAGCAGCGCAGACTACGGGGCCTTTGTGTCCAAGAGCAGGGTCAGGCTGGAGCAATTTCAATAGTTCCTCTCTTCCCCTAGTGCCTAGAGCCCAGGCTTCTGTACACAGGCTTGCTGGAGTTAACTCAACTTCTCCGGTGTTTCGGTGGGAACCGCGACTCACATGTCACACCCAAACACAACCCCCATAGTGGTCTCCTGGGGACGCATCCCAGTGCGACGGTGCCTGGCAGTCCCACCTCCCCCATTGAGGTCCTCATACAAAACACTTGCCGGCCCCTGAGTGCCTGATGTTCGGGAACGGTAGACATTATTCCTGTTTCACACCCGGAAAACTGAAGCTCTTAAGTCTTAAACTCATCGAGGGCCAGGGTAAGGGCAGAGGTTTATCAAAACCCATTTCCTCTCTGCTGTTCCACTTTGTCTTTAAAGGCCCCTTCTCCCGGAGATTTCTCAACTCCCCCTCGCCGCCCACTCCGCCCTGAGTGCCAGTCCCGCCGCACCCACCTCGTCGCCGAAGCGCACCAGCTTCTGGCCCGTGGGCCCGCGCAGGCCGGGAAAGCGCGCCGGGTCCCCCTCGTCGGCGGCCGGCTGGGCGCGCGGCCCCACCAGGCAGCGGTCGATGATTTCGTCCTGCTGCGCGGGCGGCAGCCGCGCCCACTCCGGCCCGTACTTCTCCCTGATTTTCTCCTTGTCCTGCATGATCTTCCTAGCCATAGGGCTCAGAGACGAGAAGTAGGTGAAGCGCTTCCGCTCCCGGTCGTCCAGCGGCCGGTTCCCGCTCATGACGGCCGAGCGCGAGGCCGCGATCGCCGCCGCCATCGACGCCATACCCGGCCCGCGCGTCCGGGACCGAGCACCGCCTCCCGGGCCTCCCGCGCCCCGCCCCGGAGCTCCGCCTCCGTCTCCGCCCGAAGCTCGATCCCTAATCCCCGCCCCTGTCTGAGCACCGCCCCCAGACCTTCCCGGGATGTCCTTCCACTGGGCCACCTATGCCCCAACCTGGTACAGGTCGGGACCGTGAATCGTCCATGAATCCCAACAGCACGAGGCTCCGCCTCCACTCTGTGTTCCATCCCCACCTGGAGTCCCGCCCCCATCCTGAGCTCCACCCCCGTGCTCCTCCTCTCACTGCCCTTCAAGTTCCCTGCTGTGGGGGTGCTTTCCCGGACCCTAGGGCATCTCTGGGGCAGATACTGCGTTCCCAGTACTCGCGACGCGGTTGGAGATGCCTACTGGGGTTAACAATGGGCAAAGACCGCCGTGTCGCCACGTGGCACTGATGACAAAGGAAACTTCTTCCAGCACGTGCCCAACCTGGCTCTCAATCATGCTCGCTCCTTTGCGTTCTTGCGCAGTGCATTTTCGGATTTACCGCTTTGTTTGCTGGACGATCTGCCGAGCCGAGAACTTCTATCAAGTCTAGCACGGAGGCACTGATCTGTAATACCAGTACTGGGCAGGCCTAGGCATGGTAAATTCAAGGCTAACCTGGTTTACATAGTGAAACCCTACCACCCTATCCCCACACACACACACACACACACACACACACAAAAAAAAAAAAAAAAAAAAAAAAAAAAAGCCCCTGCTAAAAGATGCGAGCGTGGGGGGAGTGGCTCCAAAGGTCTTTCCCTTTTCTGGAGAGCTAAACACAAAGGCCTCTCCATGCCCACAGAGCTTTTGCTTTTTCTGATGATTGCCACTATGAGACAAGGCAGCGACCCCCCCCACACACACACGTGTTAATTAAATCTCAGGACTTTGTCTTTAAACATCTCTCAGTGTCCTAAGCAGGAATTAAAGAACTCTAGTCAGTAGACTCTGGTCAGTGTAAGAAACCTAGATGCAGTCAACTTAAGTGACAGGCTAACTAAAAGCTTAAACTTCCAAAAATGGCCAAGCTAATCGTGGAATCTCAGAAATTACAGGAACTCTGGGAGGTTTGCTGTCTGCAAACAAACTGAAGAGGATGGAAAGTTTCCACAGGGAAGCAGAGGCGATGGGTCCCCAAAGGGGCCAGGCTTGCCATGATAGTTTCTTTGCAGACCACACAGTTATGCGCAGCTATGGAATGTTTATGTCCCCACCCCCACTGTCATTTTCACAAGATTAGTGGTTCTCAGGTAAGCATTATGTCCACTTCTGAAAAACAGCTAAATACCCATTGTAGCATGGTTGCCTCTTAAGTAGCTCTTGCCCAACACTAAAGCAAGTGCAGAAATAACTTGAAAGGCCTTGATCTAAATGGAATGTCACAAACGTGGCAGGCTCTGTAATAAAAGATATCACAACCAAGGATGTTATCAGGATAGCGAGGATGTGGTTCAGTTTGTAGAGTGCCTGTTTAACACACATAAAGATCTGACTTCCATCCCCAGTACCCTATAAACCAGGCATAGTGACACACACATGTAATCCCAACACTCCAGCAAGGTTGAGGCAAGAGGATCAGATGTTCAAGGCCATTCTTAGCTACATAGTCAGTTCAAAGCAGGCCTGTACTATATAACAACCTGTCTCTAAGTGGGCATGCATTTGACATAAAATAGATAGGCATGGTGGTTCATACCAGTGGCCCTAGGATTGGGGAGGTTGAGGCAGAAGGATTGCCATGAGTTTGAAACAAACCAGTGTTGTACAGTGAGTTCCAGGCCAACCTGAGTTACAGTATAAGATTATGCCTCAAAATAAATAAGTGAATAAATAAAAATCTCCCAGGAGAGATGGCTCAGTGTTTAAGAGTACTTGATGCTCTTCCAAAGGGCAAGAGTTCACTTCCCAGCACTCACATGGCAGTTCACAACTACTTGTAACTCCAGTTCTAGGAAATCAGACACCCTTTTCTGGCCTCTGTAAGCCATGCATGCATGAGGTACAATTACATGCAGGCGAAACACTAATATACATAAACTAAAAACAAACAAAAGTCTCATGAGTAAAACGCACTGAAGAAATGAGAAAAGCAAAGCCATCAGATGCCAGTTGAGTCTTTCCATATGTGAAGGATTCCCTAAGAAGCCAGACTTGGGATGCTGAGTTTTGGTATTGTTATTACCTATTTAAATGGGACTGTTTATCTCCTAGTTTATCTCCACTAACTCCCTTTTACTGACATCAATGGTGCTTGAAGACCTGTTCTTGAATTGCGAGTGCTCAGCTGTGGATGAATCATCTATATTAACCACCCCCATGCAAGGCTCAGGAACACTGCAGAAGAACAGGAAGAAAGAAGGTGGAGAGAGAGATAAGGAGAGCTGCAAAATGCTCACTTTGGGACATGACATGGCTGTTGCACAAATCAACTCAGCAGTTTCGATTACCTGCACAAGATCAAGCCAATCAAAATACCAGTGTGAATGGGACATGGGCCCTCAAGGCCCCGTGCATGGTGGGGAAACCATTAGCAGTTAGTGGTTTCTGAGGGAGGTATAGTCACTCTCCTTTAGGGAAGAGGTCGTCCATGCCCCAGTGGAGAGTGCCACACCCATTCACACATGGACAGCATTAACTAGACTCAGGGTTAGGAAGACATGAAGTTGAGAGGGAGAAAAGCTGGGGGCACTGAGGGGAATTGGAGAAAGGTGATGGTGGATAGGTATTATTAAAATACATGGTATAAGTGTATAAACTTTAAATAATTAAAATTTAAATAAAAAAGGAAGCCTCCTTGCTTTTTATTTGTTTTTGTTGTTGTTGTTCTGTTTTTGATTTTTGAGACAGTGTTTCTGTGTAGCCCAGGCTGTCCTGGAACTTGATTTGCAGACCAAGTTGGCCTCACTCCTTATGTTTTAATTAACATCATGTGCTCACCTTGAAACTATAGGTAAGAAGGGTCTGTGGTTTCGAAAAGTTGGCCTCATGCTGTTTTCAAAGCAGATATGGGGCTGGCCAGAGAGCTCCCTGGTTAAGCAGATTGGCTGCTCTTGCAGAGGACCTCAGTTTGGTTCCCAGCACCCACATGGCAGCTCACAGCTGCCTGTAACTTTAGTTACAGGATCTGACACCCTCTTTCAACCTCTGTGGACACTGCATGCATGTGGTACACTTACATACATACAGGCAAACACACACACATAACAATGAACAAATCTTATTTTTAGAAAGCAGTTACAAAGTGCCGTTTCCAAAACAAACAAACAAACAAACAAACAAACAAAAAAAACCCAAGTTTCATTAAATGTTTTTGGAGCAAATACAATTTATAGCCAGACAACTTTCTACAGTATTATAAATCTGAAGCCAGATGTAATGGCATAAGCCTCTAACCCTTACTACTCAGGAGGCTGAGACAGGAGAATTGAAAGTTCAGGACTGCTTAGGCTACACAATGAGTGATGGCTGAAAAGGAGAAAGAGGAAGACCTTGGGTCCAAGGCTGTTTTTCCCACCAAGCACTCAGCACTTCAAAGTCCCATGCACTCACTGTCTGAGCCCAACAGTGTCTGCCTTATTCTTCCAGGTTGGGAGAAAAAAACATGTGAGAACATGTATTGTGGTCTGTATGTACACATGCTCATCCATCTGGTGGTGCTGTTAGAGGCTGTGGACCTCCAGGAGGTAGGTCATAGCAGAAGATTGGTGTCACAGGGCTAGCTTTCATGTTTCACAGACTGACTCACTTCAACTTTCTTCCATTCCCATTCCATCAAGACATGAACAAGTGGCCTCACTCTCCAGCTGCTATGCTTTCTCAGCCATGATGGGTTATATCTCAAAACATGGGCCTTAAGCTGCATTGTCACAAATGTATGTGTAACTGACATACACATAAACACATATGCCAGAGAAACGACGAAATGCATAGCCACTTGATTCAAGATGGTAAGGGGATCTCTGTGGCAGGGCAATGATATGAGGTAGGTGGGACAGAAGCACACCCCCCCCCAGCCAATGTGCTCTGCTCATCCAGGGCCAGCACAGAGGGGCACAGTGGCATTCTGCTCACATTAGTTGCAGTTTCCACCACTAAGATTTTTACATCCCATGCTTCATTTTCCTTTTTGGTTTGTCTGAGCTATGAAGATGAGGGTTTTGCCATGTAGCCTAGGATGGCCTCACTTATGGCCCTCCTTCCTCAACTTCTAGATTGCTAGGATTTTGGGAGTACACCTCCATGCCAAGATTAAATTTCTTTTTTGACTTGGTCTTGCTCTGTAGCCAGGGTGGCCTGGAATGCTGGCATCTACATAGAACAAGAACCTTAGTTATCAAAGAACTTCCTAGGTTTCATTTACCTAGTCTCCATGAACTACAGGGTGCAGACAATGGTTAATATGTGGCAGCAGACATACCATCTTTATATCTGAGAGCTTCCCATTGCTCTCAATTGGCAGAATTTCACTGATAAAGTGAGATCTGGGCATTCTTGGGCCCAGATTTCTGATCAGGTTGGTCTTTAGTCTAACACCATCAGTAAGTTCCACACTGCTGGTGGCCACTTGCATAGGACCACACTGAGAACCTTGGCACCAGGCGTTCAGCAGCCCAGGAAGATAAATAAGGTGCCTTAGAACAGTTTGCTTTCACTTTTCTGGGTGCCCTCCATGACTAACCTGGGGGACACTGACTATGAAGGGACAAAACTGGTGCTACCGCTTTTCAGGGACATTTAACTTTAAGCCAGTGTCTGCACTGCACATGAGTGTATTACCTCACAGCTCAAGAGCTGGGCTGGTAAGAATGGGGCAGGGTGCTTCACCTCTCATGTCTAGCCCTCACCTCAGCAGTGGAGAGGAAGACAGCCTGCCTCTTATTATCTTTCTGAAGATCTCAGGGTGTCTTCTTGATCTAATCAGGCCATTTTTTGCCATCCTGGACCTAGGCAATCTGCCATGCATGGTACCCATATGTCCTTCACCCTATGAAGAT